CTTTCTCGTTAATTTTGGGTGAATATCAAGGCACGGAATGGCTGTATCATACAGTAGGTGTATATCTAACTTCTAAAGAAGTGTTTGTGACATTCTATGCTCCCACCAGCAGTGTGCAAGGGTTCTCATTCCTCAACATCCTTGTCTGCACTAGGTATGGTCAGTCCTGTCCATTTTTGCCATTCTAATACTTAATACTGACTCATTGGGGCTTAAATGTGCATTTCCTTAATGTTAACTGATGTTGAGCATTTCTTCATGTGCTCACTGGCCACTTTTATCTTCTATCTGAAGAATCTGTTCAGATCTTATTCTTTACTGGGTTGTTGGTTTCCTTATTATTAAATTTGGAGAAGTCTTTACAGATTCTGAATGCAAGTTCCTTACCAGATAGACGATCTGCAAGTATTTTCCCTCAGCCTGTGACTTGTCTTTTCGTTCTCTTTCAAAGATAAATTTTTTTTTTAAGATTTCATTTATTTATTCATGAGAGACAGAGAGAGAGACAGAGGCAGAGGGAGAAGCAGGCTCCCTGTGGAGTAGGGAGCCCGATGCGGGACTTGATCCCAGGACCCTGGGATCATGACCTGAGCCGAAGGCAGACGCTTAACCGACTGAGCCACCCAGGCGTCCCTCAAAGATAAATTTTGATGAAGTCCAATTTATCAATTTTTTCTTTGACAGTCATGATTCAGTGTTGTAGCTTAGAAATCTTTGCCTAACTCAAGGTCACAAAGATTTTTTTTTTTACTATTTTTTTAAAGTGTTACAGTTTTAGATTTTACATTTAAATCAGCAGTGCATCTTGAGTGACCTTTGCATGTAGTGAAAGGTATGGATTAAAGTTCTTTTTTGTTTGTTTGCATATGGACATCCAGTTGACCCAGCACTATCCTTTGAAAAGACTGTCCCTTTCCCAGTGGGCAGCCTAGCATGCTTGTGGAAAGTCAACCATCCATACATGGGTGGGTCTTTTCGGGGACTCTATTCTGTTCCATCCATTTGTTTATCTTGTTGCTAATACCACACTGTCCTCATCCCTGCACTTGATTACTTTATAGTAAGTCCTAAAATTAGGCAGTGTTTGCCTTCACATTTGTTCTTCTTTATCATAGACGATTTGACTATTCTAGATCCTTTGCATTTCCAAGTGAATTCTAGAATCAGCTTGTCAGTCTATGGGGGGGGAAAGGCCTTCTACAAAGAGGATTTTGAATTCAATTTCATTGAATCTATGGATCAATTTGGGGAGAATTGACATCTTAGCAATTTTGATTTTCTGCCCCATGAGTCCAGTGTACCTCTCCATTTATTTAGGTTTTCTCTAATTTCCCTCAGCAATATTTTGTAGTTTTCAGGGCATAGATTTTATACCTCTTTTGTCAAATTTGTTCCTAAGTATTTCATATTTTTATGTTCTTGTAAATGGTATTTTTTAAATTTCAATTTGCAATTGTTCTTTACTAGTATACAGAAATATAGTGTATTTTTGTATATTGATCTTGATTCTTGCATTTGCTAAACTCATTCTGTAGATTCCATTATATTTTTACAGAGACAACTATGTCATCTGTGAATGAAGACAGCTTTACTTCTTTCCAAACTGAAAAGGAAGTTTGTTTTCTAGCCTTATTGCACTGACTAGGATCTCTAATACAATGTTGAGTAGAAGTGATCAGAGCAGTGATCCTGATCTTGTTCCTGATCTTAGGGGAAAACAATCTTTCTTTCACTGGCAAACATGATATTAACTATAGGTTTCCCATAGAAGACCTTTATTAGATTGACAACATTTCCTTACATTCCTTGTTTGCTGAGAGTTTTTTTAAGAATAGATACTGAATTTTGTAAAATAATTTTGCTATGACTATTGAGATGATCATATGTGTTTTTCAAAATTTGTTAACATAGTTAATTATAGTGATTGATTTTCTTTTTTCTTTCTTCTTCTCTCTCTCTCTCTTTTCTTTCTTTTTTTTTTTTTTTTGGTAGGCAGCAAAGCAAGGTTTATTGAGTGAGAGTACAAAGCTCCCAAAGAGGGAGGGGACCCGAGAGGATTGCCCTA